TAAACCTGTCCTAAATCTCAGAATATCTTTGGAACTTATTTTTCGTAGTACAAATTATGGATCCCTAAAATAAACTCATAGAATGGAGGAAGGGTCCAAATTTTGGATTAATAAAACCAGTTACCTGGTGTCTCTCCTCTTATAAACTATTTAACAATAATAAAATTACAAGAAGTTCTAATATCATGGATTGCAGCCATCCCATAAGAAAATGCTTAAAATATTGAGGAATCTGGAAGAAGACAAGCAGACAGTTTTATCTCCAGGAGTAAAAAGAGATAGCAAGAATGTGTGGCAAGGACCTAAAACATACTGTTTGGGGCATGAAGCCAGGCTGCTTGACCAATTACTTAAACTCTCAGTGCCTGTAAAGCATTTAGAAGAGTGCCTAGCATGTAGGACAAGCTATAAGAGTGTTGGCTTTTCTGTAATAGTGGGGGTTTCCGTGTGCCCATCCAAGAAATATTTATGATGGTTAATCTAATGTGTCAACTTGACTGGGCTAAGGGATGCCCAGATAGTGGGCAAAACAATATTTCTGGGTATGTCTGTGAGGCTGTTTCCAGAAGAGATTAGCATTTGAATCAGTAAAGGGAGTAAAGATCCCCCTCAAAAATGTGGGTGGGCATCATCCAATCCACTGAGGGCTTAAATAGAAAAAAAGGCAGAGGAAGGGCAAATTCCATGTCTCTCTCTCTCTCTCTCTCTTTCTCTCTCTCTCTCTCTCTCTCCTCTTGACCAGGAACATCCATCTTTTCTTGCCCTCAGGCAAAAGATCTCCTGGTTCTCAGGCCTTTGGACTCCAAAGCTTACACCAGTACAGCCTCCCATTCCCTCCATCTCCAGCCTCCCACTCTTATTCTCAGGCCTTCAGACTCTAACTGGGAATTTGCAGACAGCATATCATGGGACTACTTGGCCTTCATAATTTCCTGAGCATGAGCCAATCCCGTAATAAAAAATAAAATTCAGGCCAGGCGCCGTGGCTCACTTTTGTAATACCAGCACTTTGGGAGGCTGAGGTGGGCAGATCACCTGAGGTCAAGAGTTCGAGACCAGCCTGGCCAACATGGTCAAAACTCCATCTCTACTAAAAGTACAAAACATTAGCCAGGTGTGGTGGTGGGCACCTGTAGTTCCAACTACTTGGGAGGCTGAGGTAGGAGAATCATTTGAACCTGGGAGGTGAAGATTGAAGTGAGCTGAGATAGTGCCACTGCACTACAGCCTGGGCAACAGAGCATGACTCTGTTTTAATTAACTAATTAATTAAATGTAATAAAATTTTAGAGTTCTCCAAAGAAACAGAACCAATAGGATATATATATCCTGTATAACCAATATATATATCCTATATAACCAATATATATCCTGTATTTTTTAAATATATATATATATATCTCCTATTTGTTCTGTTTCTTTGGAGAACCCTGACTAATACAATGGTCTGAGAGAGAGCTAGGCCTATTCTATTAACAGAAACAAAGAATGGGGAAAGTTGCAATGTGGATGACAGTGAAAATAGCAGCTAAATTTTAGCAAGTGCCAGGTACTTTGCTGGACAATTCATATAATCTCATCTCATCCTCACATCCTCACAATAGCCCTATAAAGTGGGCCTATTATAATTCCTATTTAAGTATGAGGTTTTTATTATCCTCCTCTTTCCCATCTCCACACCCCAGACAATGTTGTTTCTTACCTCCCTACCGGTACTCACCTTCTGTGTCTCCTCCTCTTCTACTCTGCATGCACACTCTTTGCCTTACCACTTGCCCACGGCTCCCCCATGCCCTCCAAAGTTGGGTTAGAAATGCTTCCTGTTTCCCTGTAATATCCTGTTTATATTGCTATAAACAGGATACATATGATCTTGTATATCATATGATCATATATACAAAATGCTATCAAATTTTCTTTTAGGTATTTCTCTCCCCATTACACTGTGAGATCTTGAAAGTCAGGGCTACTTCTTTTTAATAGTTATATTCCAGCCTCTTATTTAGTAACTGGCACATAATACATGTCCAACAAAGGAAGAAAATATAAAAGATTAGATAAAGGAAATCATTAGAAAAGTACATAAAACTGACAAAAATGTATTACATGGGACTATCCATATCACAAGTTTGAACTGATTTAAATGTTCAGCAATAGAAATTGGTTAAACACATTTTATTTTATCCTTAATTTCTATTCCATATTTTTCAAGATATTTAAAGTCATGGAAGAGTGCCACTTTAAACAAGCAGGACACAAAATTGTATCAATAATATTATTGCAATTGTGTTGTGAAAATAGCCATATGAACACAAAATATAGGTAAAAATACTAAAATATCAATAGTAGTTGCATATGGATGGGAATTTGTGAGCAATTTTTATTTTCTTCTAGAACTCTTCTCTTTTTCAAATTTTCTATTAAAAACCAAATTATTTTTGTAAATATTTTTATACAATACACGTCCATTTTAGAAAACTCACATAAACAAATATAAAATTGTAAATTAGATGTAATCCCATGATCAACAAATAGTGATTGATCGATTGATCAATAGATAGATAAATGTAATATATCTATATATACATATAATTCTATTTAAAGGGATAAACATGGTAGCATATAATCAGGGAAGAGCTTTGTTTTTTTTTTTTTTCCATGACACCTCCTTCAAAATGGTTCTGGTAGCTCTCTTTTCACCTCCTTTTGTATGCCCTGAGTGGATCCCATGTTTTGCCAGTCACTTTTTGGCTATAAGAACATTTTATCCTTTCCCCCATCTCAGAGCTTATGCAAGGATTAAAGTCCTGTGACAGTGTGGAACTGGAGGGAGGAGAATGTAGCTCTTCTTTCACATGCCTCATTCCACCTCCTCCTACTTCTGGCTCTGACAAGGGGATTGGATCCAACAAGCAGGAGGGAAAAGAAGAAATGACCTTTTTACTTAGTTGATGCCCTTGTGTCAAGCACCCACTCTCATGACAGACGATCAAATTCCAGTTCTCTCTTGGGGTGAAGAGCATTATTTTTATCCTGTTTTGGAAACATTTCCCCACCTCTATGGGCAACTCCACCTGCACCATGATGCTAAAAATACTTTCTAGGATATAAGCACTCCCCACCAGTATCTGCCACCTGACAGTTCACCCACAGCCCCTTTTTGCTGAAGGCCCTCCTTAAGGCAAGTAGCCCTCTTGGGTAAGACATTTTCAAGACACTCAACACCCTCCTCATTGGCTATGTGGCTCATGGAATTTACAGATCTTTTCTCCCACCCATCCTGACTGCTGCCCTCTCACAAACAGCCTCCCAAAGCCAAGATTTTCCAAGCGAGAGGCAGTCAACAGTTTTGATCTTCCTTACATTTGACCCAAAGTTCTGGGCACAGGTATCCAGTTCTCTTGTAAAATGTCTCATGCACCACACCTATGCACCTATGCATCCTCTGCAATGAGTGTCCAGGCTTGACATAAGCAGCTGATGATTACGGTAGATACTGGACTACTTTGGCCCACTATATCATAGCAAGTCCTCTGGGACGTGCTTACACCTCTTTGGAAAATTAGTGTGTACTTATTGTCCATTGTCCTCAGCTTTGATGACTTAGTCAGAATTCCATGACAACAGAAAAAGTCTTATTTAATATCTGTTGTGTAATATATTATACTTTTACAAAAATGGGACTATATGTATACATTAATAAGCATTATGTCTCAAAATGTATTGCTGGTCTATTTTGCCCCTGGTATTGAGAGAAATAAAAAAAGAATATGATAAAAATCCTTATCTTTCAAAACGCCTGCAATCCAGCAGGGAAGATAAGACACATGAACAAATAGCTGTAATAAAAAGCATTGAAAATGTCATAAATGTGAAAAAAAAAAAAAAAGCATTTCCAATGATAAAGAAAGGGAAGGTTGGGCCAGGTGGAGTGGCTCATGCCTGTAATCCCAGCACTTCGGGATGCCAAGGCCAGTGGATCACCTGAGATCAGGAGTTCAAGACCAGCCTGAACTACAAGGTAAAATCCCATCTCCACTAAAAATACAAAAATTAGCCAGGCGTGGTGGCAGGCGCCTGTACTCCCAGCTACTCTGTAGGCTGAGACAGGAGAATTGCTTGAACCCGGGAGATGGAGGTTGCAGTGAGCCGAGATCACGCCACTGCACTCCAGCCTGGGTGATGGAGTGAGATTCAATCTCAAAAAAGAAAAAAAAAAAAAAAAAGAAAGGGAAGGTTACTTCCAGTGTGGAGTGATTATTTATTAGGAAGGGTTAAATTTTCAGCCAAATTCTGAAGAATTGGTAAGATCTCAATAGTATAAAATGGAGATGGGGGAACACATATACCAGAGACAAGAAACAATTAATAAAAGCGCAGAGACTAAAAAACATAACGTTTTTTCAAAGAATACTGAATAGTCCAATTTTTTAGGAATACAATATTTCCCAAACAACTTGCCATTTTTACAGTAATAACAATTAAGGCAGCCTAGATTCCCTGTCATGCATTGATACATTATTAGGGCACTATGAAAAATTTTTAGGGCTATGTCATGAGTGGCATCTAGAGAATTTGAACTGTTAATTTGGCAGTGACAAAGTACTGAAGAATTACAAATTATAAAGAAACACCAGGCTGTGCAAGGGCCAAAGGCAAGAAGGAAAGTATCTAGGAGGCATGCACAATAATCGCTGCCTAAACTAGGATGGTGGCAGTGGGAATGCAAAGTAACGCACCAATTCAGATGACAATCCAAAGCCTTTTGAGCATTCAGTCCATCAGTCACCCTGATAACACCAATAAAGCCTTGCTGGAGAGGCTTTGGGTTGACTGTTTGCTGGTGATGAAGGATTTGCACTGAGAATACAAATTCCCACTTCTTATCCCCCTCAAGGCCCAGGTAATGCATTTTCAAAGAGCCTGTCTAGTGTTAAGGGTGCAGGCTGAAGTCATAGAAAGAAGCAAAGTTAACTAGCTCATAAGGGAATCCAACTCACCAACAGAAGCAAAGGATCACAGGTACATTTCAGGAGGTTTAAACGGCTTGATGGAGGAAAGGGATGGCAAGTTCCTAGCATCTTCTTGAACCTGCCAATAATAGCAAAACATCATAATGCTCAGGGTAAAATAAAGTGTATTAATTGAGAAGTAACAATAAATGCTACCTGGGGACTGTTAATATTTACATGTACGGTGTTAATTTAAAGTGCTATTCAGAACTCAGTTTCTATACTAGGTGCCCCAATAATGTGTGGGTCCAAGACCAGGAATTCTTAATATTCTAGGCTACGTTTATTGTTATCATAAAAACATAAAATGTAATGGCTACTAAGATGTTGTAGTACCCAGGACCTGATCCAGCACCGTGTAGCTACTTTGATGTTTTACAAACTTCACTTTGATGCTGGATATAATTAGTGATCAAATGTCTCAAGAGTGGGTCAAAAGGGGAAATAATGAAAAGAGAAGACATTATCATCGACACATGAAGGTCATCTTTATAGAAACAGAAACACCAATTGTGCGTTACTAGCAGAAAAAGCCATGTTTCTTTGATGGTACTGTACTGCCCTCTAGAGACAAGCCTATGACATGCAGCTCTAGCTAAAACCAAACAAAATCTTAAATAAACCCAAGCACAATTCAGGCAAAACGGAAAACATATGAAATTCTCGATTAATATTTTCAAAGAACTCCTACCTCAACAGGAAATAAAACTAGCTTCTAAGACAAATATTAAGGTAAGGATGTTTTGAAGTAAAATGTATGCATTTTCCCAGAAATCTGAAATATGACAGTAAATGAATTAACTATGGAACTTGCAGCAGTTTAAAGATCAAGCTATAGGCCGGGTGCAGTGACTCATGCCTGTAATCCCAGCACTTTGGGAGGCAGAGAGAGGCAGGCAGATCACCTGAGTTCAGGAGTTCGAGACCATCCTGGCCAACATGGTGAAAACCCGTCTCTTCTAAAAACACAAAAATTAGCTGGGCATGGTCACAGGCGCCTGTAATCCTAGCTACTTGGGAGGCTGAGGCAGGAGAATCACTTGAGCCCTGAAGGTGGAGGTTGCAGTGAGCTGAGATCGTGCCATTGCACTCCAGTCTGCCTGGGCAACAGAGTGAGACTCCATCTAAATAAAAAATAAAAATAAAAAAATAAAATAAAAAAGCTATAAATGGATAAAAAGAAATTGGGAATGGGGACAATAAAAGGAAAAGTTTACTGGGAAAGCAAGCACCATTAATGATTCAAATAGCAAAAGATGGTCCAGAAGTTTTACAGAGACAATAACGTTTACTCAATAACAAGTAGCTAGATTAGTCAAATTATTAATCATTTGCACTTTAAAACATTGTTTGTAAAAATGACCATTAACAGTACTTCATTTTAACCTGAAACAATGCTATATATAATACTACAACCGGACCTCCTGATCAGTCCCCCAGAAAAAACTGCCTCTAAATACTGGTATTAATTGCCAGAGGCTGAAAGCACCTGCCCCTCCCTATGGTCTGAGCTTTGGGCTCCACTCACCTATACTAACTCTTGTGTCAGAAATTACAGAAGGTTTATGGACACAGAAGGAAAGAGAGTGTCAACTGGATGTCATTTGAAGTAACTCTGATCTCTGAAATGTGTATAAACTGTTTTCAACTCTTATCCCAGGTCCACGGGAAAAGCTACTGCCTTCTAGGATTCCTGAGAACGCCTGGGGGTTCATTATCTCATAATTGCCTTGCACTCAACTTCCTAACTCACTCAATTCTTAGCTCCCAAGTTACTCTCTGATATGAAACTACCCATTTTGGTTTTTTTTACTTTTTTCAAAATACCGCCAGCACAAGGATGAGTGAGAGTCATACTTAATCAAAGATCTGGGAGACAAAGAACCACAGAGCTAATAAACTAACGTTGATAGTAGATAACCATCGTAGATAACCCTGTTCTTTAAAGTCTAACACGGGAAAATGTGTGCCGTTACCGCAGGACAGTAGCAGATCCAGTCGAGTCAGTCAGCTGTAGTTTTAATTAAACTATTTCACTTCCAATTAAGAGTCAATTAACTCATTCCTTCTTGGCCCAAGGACATGTTAACAACCACCTTCATCTATGTCTTCCAATTCCTTCATATGGTATATTGGAAAAATATTATATTTGTATAGCGCCATATTTTTTTCAATGTGCTATTGTAGTCCAATGAAGTGATTAAAACATACACACACACACAAACACACACACACACACACATACACTCACACACACAGTTAATCAGAAACTCCCAAACTGTTAAAAGGCATGCAAGGTACCATGGTAGTTAGTCATGCAACACCAAACATGTCCCAGAGTCAGCTTCTTCTGGGCATTTTCTACCTTCTTACACTCTACTAAACTTTGACATTGCTGTCTTTCTGCTTACATAACCTCTCAGCCACCACCAAACTGCAGAATAGGGAGCACAACAAGCATGAGAAAAAAAGTTTCCACGGTAAAAGATGACATATTAGGCATGAATTCGTTAAGATTGAGAAAGCAAAGTTGATTTATTTTACTGTAACAGATATGGAGTGAATAAAAAAAAATCTCGTAGGCTCCTTCAGATGTCATCCATATGATCAGATTTTCTGTTCAGAGCTGTGTACTTGTGACAAATCCCAACATGAAGAGTTGTATGGATATTACGCTGGACAATGTGGTTCAAGCCTATAATCTCAGCACTTTGGGAGGCTGGGGCAGAAGGATATCTTGAACTCAGGAGTTCATGACCAGCCTGGGCTCTATAGACCCACCTCTACAAAAAATAAAAAATTTGCCTGATGTAGTGGCACGTCCTACTCGAGAGGCCAAGGCAGGGGGATCATTTGAGTTCAGGAGATTAAGGATGCAATGAGCTGTACTCCAGCCTGGGTGACAGCAAAACTCTGTGTCAAAAAACAAAAAAACAAGGTTACATGGGGGATTCCGCTGTTTGTTATAGCGTCAGGTTCAAATTGGGTCATTTTTTATTATTCCTCTTTTTTCCTGCCTTTTTTTGGGTAAGTACAACTTACCTGGTATTTACATTACTTAGTTTCAGCTTATGGCTTTATCTCATAATATCTATTTTTACCACACAAAAATATTCTTTAGATGGGAGGCAGGACAAGGTCTTTTGAATTCCAGGAAGCTCCATGGCTGGATTTGTCTTCACAGAACCCACATGCAGAGTCCTCATGACCTCCAATTAACATCTTACCTTCAGCACCCGTGGCTACCTTGTGTTCTTCTCTTTACTCAAAGAAGTTGGCCTTCACCTTTTAGATCATCAGACAGTGAAGGCTTCCAAAAGATACTAGCTTTGTTGTTTTTTGTGTCCTGGACAGCAGCATCACCTTTGCTCACCTCAGGCCATCTCCTATAGCTCACATTCTCACAAACATGCTGACTTTGAGGCAAAGATTTTGAAGTATTCATTGTGAATAATGACTTTGATTTTGTAACTGTCACAATGAACAAGAAGGACTCTTGGAGTATAATCAGGAAGTAACTTTACTTTTTAACCACTAGTCCTTGAAATATAATCTGTGAAGCTAGATCAACTTCCTTCTCCAGTCAAAAATTAAGGCCGGCTTCACACCTTTCCTGTCCTTTTGAACAATAACAAGAGTTCTTCCCTATAGCAAATGCCTCTGAAATCTGGGTCACATTCCCTGAGCCTATCTCTGATTTTCTTTTTTGTGTGTTTGCCAGGTTTTGGTATCAGGATGATGCTAGCTTCATAAAAGGAGTCAAGGAGGAGTCCCTTCTACTCAATTTTTTGGGATAGTTTCAATAGAACTGTTATTAGCTCTTCTTTGAGTGTCAGGTAGAATTCAGCTGTGAATCCATGTGGTCTGGGGCATTTTTTTTACTTCTTTTTTTTTTTTTTTTTTTTTTTGATTGTTAGGATTTTTTATTACTGCTTCCATTTTGGAACTCAGCACTGATCTGTTCAGAGTTTCAATTTCTTCCTGATTCAATCTTGGGAGACTATAAGTTTCCAGAAATTTATTCATTTCCTCTAGATTTTCTAATATGTGTGCATGGAGGTGTTCACAATAGTCTCTGAGGCCCTTTTGTATTTCTGAAGGATCAATTGTAATGTCATTTCTGATTGTGCTTATTTGAATCTTCGTTTTTTCCTTGTTAATCTAGCTAGTGGTCTATTGATTTTGTTTATCCTTTCAGAGAACCACCTTTTGGTTTCATTAACTTTTTGTAGAATATGTATATTTGGATCTCAATTTTGTTCAGTTCTGCTTTGATTTTAGTTATATCTTTTCTTCTGCTAGCTTTGGGGTTACTTTGTTCTTGTTTTTTCAGTTTCTGTAGGTGTGATGTTAGATTAATTTTCTAGCTTTTTGAGGTAGGTGTTTTGCACTATAAACTTTCCTCTTAACATTGCCTTGCTGTATCTCAGATATTTTGGTATGTTGTGTCACTATTTTTATTTACTTCAAAGCATTTCTTGACTTCTGCCTTAATTTTGTCCTATACTCAAAAGTCATTCAGAAGCAAGTTGTTTAATTTCCATGTAACTGTGCAGTTTTGAGAGATCCTCTTAGTATTGATTTCTATTTTTATTCCACTGTAGTCCAAGAGTATGGTTGGTATGATTTCAATTTTTAAAAAGTTTATTGAAACTTGCTTTATGGTCAAGTATGTGGTCAATCTTAGAATATACCCCCTATGCAGAAGAGAAGAATGTATATTCTGCGGCAGATGGGTGGAATATTCTGTAGATGTCTATTAGTTCCAATTGGTCAAGTGTAGAATTTTAAGTACAGAATTTCTGTTAGTTTTCTGCCTTGATAATCTGTCTAACACTATCAGTGGGGTATAGAAGTCCCATATTATTACTGTGTGGCTAGTTAAGTTTTTCTGGAGGCCTAGAAGTACTTGCTATTTGAATCTGGGTACCCCAATATTGGGTGCAAATACATTTAGGATAGTTAAGTCCTCTTGTTAAATTGAACCTTTTATCATTATGTAGTGCCCTCTTTGTCCTGTTTTACTGTTGTTAGTTTAAAGCCTGCTTTATCTGATATAAGAATAGCAATCTCAATCTT